TGTGTGTGTCCAAGCAACTCTTCCGCTTACTCTGGTCCAATTTCAAAGTTTCAGAGCTCATTCAAACGCCCTAGAAAAGTTAAGCGCATAGAACGATTTACGTGGAGCTAAGATTCAGGGTAGCCAGATTATGCCACGTTACATATATATATTAATATATTATACTAGCCATTATCATTGGTTTCATGGTTCCGGGGGAGTAACAATTATTTTCCTATATATTATAATATAATGGCTAGTAAGATATTATAATATAATGGCTAGTAAGATAATATATATTATATATATTAATATAGTATACTAGCCATTATCGTTGCTTTCATGGTTCCAGGGAAGTAAGTTTTATTTTCCGTTTATATCCAAAATTGCAGCTAGCTAAAATTTTAAGCTAGCTAAAATTTTAAGCTAGCTTAAAAGCCGCCCTATCAGGCAGCAATTAAGCTAGTTTTGTGGAAGATTCATGATTTGGCCATCATCCCAATAGCTAGGGAGGAGTATATGCGATAAGCATCAATAAACTACAGAAGAATTCAAAATTGATCACTGCATTTAAGTATTGAATTAATGTTTAAACTTACCTTTTAAAAGTTCAACTATAATTCTTCTGCTGTCACTTAATTTAAAGACGATTTGATGTACGTAGATCCTTATTTTCCGTTCAAACAATTATTTTTATTTCATAGGTGACAGAACAGGGGACAATTTATAAGATATAATTAATATAATGTAAAGATGGGAAAATAGAAAACAGAGTTAGAGAAACATAATAGTTAATTAAGTAAAACCTATATTATGGAATATGTATCGAGAGAAAAGAAAAGTATAAGAAAAAGATGTATGAAAGAAAATTGTAGGAAAAAAAATAAGAACTTAGAGCGAAAAAAAGGGAAAGAGGTAAAGAATACAAGCAAGTAGCTTTTAAAGTGAGAAAGAGAAAGTTGTACAGAAAAAGAGAGGGAAAAAGTTAAAAAGGGATAAAGGGAGGGGTTTACGAGAAAAGGAATATCAGCATTGAGGAAAAGAGATAAGTGGAGAAAAATGGATAAAATCAGAGAGAGGGAGAGGGGACATACAGACAGAAAAATAGAGAGAGAGAGAAGGGGGGGAGATAGAGAGTTACAAATAGGGATTGACAAAGGAATGGAAAGTAAAGAGAGAAAGAGAAAGATGTATAGAAAGTGTAAGGAAAAATGGAGGAAAATTCGGAGGGAGATTATTGATATAGAAATCAAAGTGGAGAGAGACGGAAAAAAAACATTCATGAAAATAATAAAAAAAAGACCAATAAATTGTGAGAGTTAATTGCTAAATTGGTCGGTTTTGATTATCACTAGCTTTCTGATCTTTCACTGAGATTGTGACCTGGAATCAAATATTCTATTTTATCGGAAGGAAAATATCGTATTATCTCTTTCAACTTTTGAAAGAGAGAAATAGAGGACTAAACTATATTTTTCTTTGTCACAACAATTGGTAGAGAATTATTGCATTGCCTCTTTTACCGAGAACCAATTGATTGGAGCGACATTTATTGAATCATATGACTTTCAAGTGTGCCTATTCTCTACAAGCAGGCTGTAATAATATAGGTTGGATTAAGGTCAGTAGTTTTCAACTTGGTCTCCTTTAGTTGATGCAGTTCGGATGTTGAACCGATGTCGAACAAAGGACAAAATTGTCGTCTTTCAAATAGTTTAACCACGTCCAGCCGTGCGAAGATCTTAGTAAAAAAAAAAATCAGCAAACAGTTATGTCAACACAATACTATTATACAATTTGCTTCTTGTCCCTTTTCCGGACGAATCTAAAAGACGATTAATTACTTGCCACGGTATTCGATTTCTTTTATTTTTTTTTAATCAGATATCAAAGTTAAAGCCTAAACCGTATGTAGACACTATCACAGTTCGAACCGAAATCAGTTAGCAGCAGTCACTACCAACACTGTTCAGCTATGACTTCCGGTTAGTATTAGTCTGTGTTGGGACCCGGAAAATTACTCATTCATGTCGTGGTTAAGTAGACCCGACGAAACCTATCCCTCTCCATGTCAAATCACAGCCAATGTTCGCCGACATGAAAGTTAGCCTTAAGACCTCAAGGCAGCACAGGATTGGCGTAAAGAAATCACTCAAGAAGAGCTACACTCCAAAGTAATTCAGAAGACATAGAGAGCCGTCACAATTATCTTTTCTCGCGTAAGTATAAAAGTGAGTAATTAATTTTCTGTTATTACTTATATATACAGGAATCTACTAACACAAAAAGTTGTGCTCATGTGTTAATTTAGAACACGTAAAAATCTTGTTATACGCTGAATTTTAAAGATATTGTAAAATAAATCGTGTTTTATTGAAATATTAAACTCTGTTGGTTGTAGCAATTTGGTAGGCTTCATTTCTTCCACTTAAACAAGTTTAGAGGATTTTACGTATTAGAAACAACTCAATAATTTTTTATTTACTATTTAAGTTGCCGCCGTGCCTTTTCTAGTCACTTCAAGTTACCGACTATGGGAGAACACTACTTTGATAACAATGTCTATGAACCTCTTGGGATAGGTAACGTTATTGAATATTTTACGATGCCTGCGTATATCTTTCTATCTATCTATCTATCTGTATATATATATATATATATATATATATATATATATATATATATATATATATATGTGTGTGTGTGTGTGTGTGTGTGTGTGAATGTATATGGATATATTAAGACACCAAGGAGAGAATAAAAAAAGAAAAAAAAGGTTTACATTACCGTAAAGAGATAACATTGAAAAGTAAAATAATAAAAACAAATGCATTGTTCTTCGTCTCTCATCTGTGATTATGTAAAAATGGGAAATGTGCGCAACGTCTAAACTTAACAATACCAGAGACCGGATGTTATGTAATAAATAAATCAACATCAATGACTAACTATACTTAAGTGTAAAAGTAATTCTGTTTGCTTACATAGGGATGACTAGAGAGACTTTGTCTAGATTCATTACACATCCTTTAGGTCAAAATCACAGTGATTTTTCTTCATTAATATAATGTTAACATTGTTCGCTCCTGATGTTTTAATATGCCCGTTTTAATCACAATATATATCCAAATGAGTGAGAGAACAGATGGAGTAAAAATCCACAGTTCGTCGCATTTATTTGTAAAAAAGTGCACAGTACAAAATAGAGCAAAATATATTTTTATTATAATAAATTACAATAAAAACACTTTGCATTGCTACAAAAAACTTTCATGTTTCTGTGCTAAAATAGCACAGAAGAGATACCATCTTAGTACAGAAACATGAAAGATTTTATAGCGATATAAAATATTTCATTGTAATTATTTAGCTACCGTTATCTGAAGAGGTACCAACTTAGTACCGAAGCATGAAAGTTTTTGTGTAGCGACGTAAATATTTGTATTGTAATTTATTATAATAAAAATATTATATATATATATATATATATATATATATATGAATTTCAAAATATTTTAAAATATACTTCTAAAATGGTTTTAGACCAATTTAATTCTTATAATCTCATATAAGTTTTGTATGATATTAATAATCTTACTGTGATCATTCCGGTAAGTAAATTTATAACTCCTCCCCACTTGCTATCAAAAGAAAGCACTACCTCCTTATTTTCTCGGATATAAAGAAAGGTTAATTGTTAAGAAATTGGGCAGAAATGGAATATGGATGAATAATTTTAATCTCATAAATGTTACAATATCGAAATACATGTAGTTATGAGCATGCTGATACACACCTATTCAATACACACACACACACACACACATACACACACACACACAAACATACCCAAACACACAAGCACACGCACATACAGACACGTCTGTGGTGCACAAGAAAATTGAAAACATATAATATAAATAAAAAAAATGTTCATTTGGAAAGAAATCTTCATCGCAATCATCATTCCCATGACCATAATGTTACTACGCTGCTAAGGACCTGACCAGTTCCCTCCACTTATCTGTGTTGGGACCCGGAAAATTACTCATTCATGTCGTGGTTAAGTAGACCCGACGAAAGCTATCCCTCACCATGTCAAATCACAGCCAATGTTCGCCGACATGAAAGTTAGCCTTAAATTCAATCGGGAGATCTTTCTGTCCTGGACGTTGATTTTATCTCGGAAGCCCTCAACCCAACGATCACGTTATCATTACCGCTATGGCCGAATACATAGCTATGGAGCCTATTTCATTGGACTAGTTGGCCTTTGACCATGCAATAAGTTTCGTTCATCATTTGATAGGTCTTATTTTTAATATTGCCGGGACTCTAGTCAGCCTCCTCACCAGAAAATGCTAGAGGGTAAACGGTTTATTAACCGAGAACCTAACCGGTCGGTAAAGAGTACAAAGAGTACAAGGTAACAATAGCTCTCATAAAAAAACGGAACAGCCACACTAGCCGAATCTATGATGTCATTATAAAGGTGAATGCTTGTACAGAACATTCCACACTTTTCGAAAGAACTGACTACAGTGAACTTGCGCGCATAGTGTACCATGAGGTTCTCAAATCAGGGTATGAATTCGGAGTTGCCCTTGATCAAAACCGCTTTGCAACCAAAGATAAAAAATACAGTGTGTGCACTTGGTCATCAATAAAGTTTATGAAGTCGAAGTTGCCCTTTGCCAGAACTGGTTTCCAACGAAGGAAAAATAACCCCGTTTTCTATATAATTTCACCCATAGCTGTGGTGAAAAATATTGATATCTCCTACAAAGATATTTGCACATAAATGAATGCAACGAATTCGACTGGAATTTGAACTTGGATCGCCGATGTCTCGTTCTTAGCCGCTAAGCATCACACCACCTGCACATACACACGAGCGTCCGTACACGTAAACACAAACACCAATGCACATCTTGGCCATTCCGTGCAGCCTAATATTGACTGGTGACATCACAGAAAAAAAAGTAAGCGTTTCTATTCAAGTGGTTAACATTATGTCGATAATGTCTGCTGCTTTTTTTCCTTTAGCTGCTGAACTATCTTTCATTGATGGTGGTTTGATTTGAAACGCTCTGTGCGGTAGCAGGGTTTTATTAGAACCTTTTAGCGGCTAGGTCGCTTGGCGTGAAGTGACTAAAATAGTAAAGCAACCGAATGAGATGTGTTATAATGAATGAGAGTCATACATTGTTTGAAATAAAAAAGGGTTTTATGGCTTTTAGAACAAGCTGCAGCATCGACCAGAGAATCGGGAATCACAAAAGAACGAAGATTTGGAGATCGGACATTTATTAAAGAATGGAATTTACAAGCGATCGATGGTGAACAAAAAATAATCGTACGAATTCATATCTATCTATCTATCTATCTATCTATCTATCTAAGTTTGTTCTATCTAGCTATCGGTTTCAGTTTGTTCATATCTCTATCAGTTTGTTCATATCTATCTATGTATCTATCTATTTCAGTTTGTTCTATCTAGCTGTTTCAGTTTTTTAATATCTATTTCAGTTTTCTCATATCTATCTATCTATCTATCTATCTATCTATCTATCTATCTACTTATCTATCTATCTATCTATCTATCTATCTATTTCAGTTTGTTTATATCTATCTATCTATTTCAGTTTGTTCTATTTACGAATCTATTTCCGTTTGTTCATATCTATCATTTTTAGTTTGTACATATCTATCTATCTATCTATCTATCTATCTATCTCAGTTGGTTCTATCTCGCTGTTTCAGTTTGTTAATGTATATTTCAGTTTATTTTATTTTGTTCATATCTATCTATCTATCTATCTATCTATCTATCTATCTATCTATCTATCTATCTAAGTTTGTTCTATCTAGCTATCAGTTTTAGTTTGTTCATATCTATAACAGTTTGTTCATATCTATCTATCTATGTATCAATCTATTTCAGTTTGTTCTATCTAGCTGTTTCAGTTTGTTAATATCTATTTCAGTTTGCTCATATCTATCTATCTATCTATCTATCTATCTATTTCAGTTTGTTCTATTTACGAATCTATTTCCGTTTGTTCATATCTATCATTTTTAGTTTGTACATATCTGTCTATCTATCTATCTATCTATCTATCTATCTATCTATCTATCTATCTATCTATCTCAGTTGGTTCTATCTAGCTGTTTCAGTTTGTTAATGTATATTTCAGTTTTTTTATTTACCTATTTCAGTTTTTTCATATCTATCTATCTATCTATCTATCTATCTATCTATCTATCTATCTATCTAAGTTTGTTCTATCTAGCTATCGGTTTCAGTTTGTTCATATCTATATCAGTTTGTTCATATCTAGCTGTTTCAGTTTGTTAATATCTATTTCAGTTTGCTCATATCTATCTATCTATCTATCTATCTATCTATCTATCTATCTATCTATCTATCTATTTTCTTTTTCTCTTTTCCATACAATGTGTGAATGTATGTGCGATACGCTGCTCACATCAGTCTCCAATCAGGGGAGGTAACACAGTTTCGGTGACACCGACAGAGTATTGATTTTTGTGTAGACGTGTCAGTCTCTTGCGATTTATTTTAACTGCAACTCAGATTTTCAACGTTTGCTTTTGATCATAAACCAATACACATCGCGCTCGTGGCAACCGTTATCAATGGCGTAGAATTTAAGGTAAACAGATGTTTTTCACGTCGGAAGTAGGATTGTCTTGCGGGAATGGATTTAATTAACTTTGTTTATTTTGGATCTCAATCAAATTCAACGTAATGCCCGTTGAACTTTGGCTTGGGGACGATGGTAAACACGCTTTAGGCTCCGGCCATTGATGCCCACCTTCAAAAGGAAGGAAACGATTGACCGTCTAAGGAATCCAGGTCACGCAACCTTAATAGGTAGCACATGACATGCCCATCCATTTTCCCCCTAGTCTCTTCGCAGCGATTGGTAGCAGTTTTTCTTTCTCTCAGGGACCCGTTAATCCTACTAGGAGGACAAACTTCTTTGAATCAGACCACGCTAAAATGTCAGGGTGTGCGTCTGTCTGAATGATTTGTACTGGAAATTACAGAGGTGTTCTAAGATCAACTAACACCCTCCAATCACGGGCTGCACCCAGTAGCGTCATCTTGTTAGGAATTTGGGTCTTCCGCACAATGTGAAAGCGAATCTTAGGTTCTCAAGTCGTTACAGGCTGTTTGTTGGCTGCTTCCCACTGTGTACCGACTAAGTCCATGACCACTTCTAGTATTTTGTTAGGACGTCACGTGTACGTCTGCAGTCATTAGGCATGCAGAGAGTACGTCACGTAAAAAGCCTCGATCACTTTGAATTACTGTGCATATATCGGTGTCACTCTATCCCCGGAGTTTGAGGTTGGTTGCATTTGATAGGAGATCATAGACAGGTCGCAGGAGCAATGATATTGCCAATGTCTCTATTGCACTCAGGGTATTACATGATAGCTTCATCGGATCAATATCATTCCATGTAATTCAATTATATTGTTTTGACGGAGAAATTCCTGATTTCTTCAATAAGCATGTCTTGTTATTCCTTTGGGCCCTATTCGGAGAAAATTTCTTTGCTTGTACTGCCCGAATCAGCTCGATTAGTTTGATTCGCCCTATAATTTCCTTGCTTCTTGGGTGAATTCTACTGCCGACCATTTTGTGCCAGTTTTGATATCTGGCTGTAAGGTCAGGACGAACTCATTAGCCGAGTCCCTCATCATCATGTGAAAGCGTACATTCCCGACCTTGAGCTCCTCCACCCATGAGGAGATGGGAAGTTGCAGATTTTTGGCATTGGAAGAGAATCTCACTGTGGAAAAGGAGAAAGGAACTCCAAACCACTTGCGTAGGTAATTGTTTATACACTGTCGCGTCTGCTGAATGCGAAACAGATTAACGCCATACACCTGAAACGGCCAGGGAATCCGAGGCAACAAACCATGTTGGTAGAACCAAGCCTTCAGTTTGCCGGGGAGATGGGTTCTGTCGATGGATTCAAGTCCATCTAGTGCCACTTTACCTCAGGTGAATTTCATACAGGTCTCCGAGGTTCATCACTGGCTTTTCTTTGAATGTCAGGATCATGCTACCCCAGTGTAGAAGTGAATCGTCTGAGTAATGATAAGTTCCGGCTTTTCTTGGGTTTAGCTTCATTCTCGCCCACATGAAGAGCTTATGATAACGTTACAGCAGTTCATTGGCACCGACCTTAAACGGGACCTGAGTAGTGATGTCATCCGTGAACGCTCTAAAAGGAGGAAGGACCATTTTTCCTTTAGTCATCACTGCCTTTAGTGTTTCCCATGCACCCCTAATATGATTTCCATAGACATAAGGAAAAGAAGTAGTGAAATCACACATGCCAACCTCGAGGGCATGCCACATGGTTTGTGTGGTTACCAACGGTGAACTCCATAAACGCTGCTTTGAAATATTTCATTATAATTTCCCCAGCCTTACTAGGGAACATTATTTACATTTTTCAGACTATTGTCCTCATCTTTGTCGCCATATTTATTGCAACGTTTCGGACGTTGTGCGCGCCGGTCTTCTTCAGGTGGTTGGACTGTCGAACTGGACCCTTTATTTCGCTTCCTGAGGTAGACTGTTCTATTTCCACGTGCCATGTTTAATGGATGTCAATTATCAGTTATCTTCTGTTAATTCCAGTCTGAAAGTTCTCCACTGACTTAACCGGGTATTGAACTCTTTGGGTCCTCTAACTGGATCCAACTAACGCCTTTATCCACTGTGCCAGAGGGGAATTAACAGGAGATAGCTGATAACAGACATCCATTAAACATGGCATGTCGAGCTAGAACAGTCTACCCCAGTGAGCGAAATAAAAGGTTCAGCTCGATATTCCAACCACTTGAAGAAGGCCGGAGCGTACAACGACCGAAACGTTGTAATAAATATGGCGACAAAGATGAGGATAGTTGTCCGAATAATGTAAATAGTGTACATAATACCTCATCTCAGAAATATAGACAGATATTTACTATGACGTCCTGTTATAAACTAAATCCTCGTCCTGAGTAAGACGATAAACTACGTCCAGCAGCAAGGTCTCTGATCAGGAGGGTTTGAGGAGCGTGGAACCACCTCTTAATTGCTGATGTTCCCAGGTCCACCCTGAGCCGGGGTGGTTGTACATGTTGGGGTCCCAATTATGGGTAAATAGTTAGCTCCCAAACTGGGGTAAAAACACTATGAAAGTGTAAAAATAGGTTTTAATACCAGCAATAAGTATTTGAAGAAAAAAAACTATTACCAGCAATACATTTTTGAAATAAATATTACCAACAATGTTTTTAAAAAATAAATATTACCAGCTATACATGTTTGAAGGAAAAAAATATTACGAGAAATATATTTTTGACAAAACAAAATATTACCAGCAATAAAAATTTTGTCGGCATTAAATAACCCATCGAGATTGAATGCCGTAAAACAAACCAAACCAAACCAAACTTACTAGGGAAATTGAAAAATCAAGGGATATTCAAATTAGCTCCTGAGAAGAATTGAGTTCCAAATCATGTGTGAATACTGTAGGCTGCCGGGGAAGCCAGATATCCCAGCCTTCTGGACAGTGTGTTTATGTAATATTTACCTAGCAGGAAGACTGTTAGTGCAATATACATTTTTTTTTTATTTGAAGATGGCAGTATTAAGAACTTCTTTTTGAAAGCCATAGAGAAAGTAAATATTTATCTTTCAACTTCGATGTTGAGTGGAGAAAAATACAAAAAAAAAAAAAAGCAAGTAGAAGAGAAAAAACAATTTCAATGGCGGTAAAGAATAAGACTGCTTAAAGAAGGATAAAAGAAAAAGCGAATGAAGGCAGAAACTTTAAATAATAGGGAGGAATTAAATGATTACACTGAAAAAGGAAAAGATAGCTGACCATTTGGGTCGATTTGACCTCTGTAAATTGGTCAGGTCAAGTATTTTCTTCACCTATGTCTCCAGGTTAGTTGGTCCATCCCTATTGCACCCTAGCAGGAATATAAAAAGAAAATGTTCAGCTTTCTGTATACCCTGCGGATTATATGTTGATTACATTTTTGAACATTTGAAAGAACTTGGAAAAAAAAGAGTCTTTCTTGGGGGTCGAGGTGCCTGAAATTTTAAACAATAGAAATTGAGCCATTGAAGAAAATGAAATATAAATCTAGATGGAATTATAAAAGAAAATAGAAGGAGGCGTAAAATAAAAAAAACGGGGGTCGTTTTTTAGGAAATATCTTCACTATTTTGGATTGAAGTTGATATAATTGTAAAGGGATAAGAAAATTGAACAAAGGGAATTTTCCTTAAAAGGCAAATATCGATTGATAAATAATTTCTGTTGCCAGTTGAAGTGAATTGCACTCATCATAGATGATACAACTACTGCAGAATATTTCGGATGCTGTTAGAATGAGAGATTTTGCCATAGTGCAATATACTGTCTTATTTGAAGATGGCAGTATTAAGAAGAGCCATAGAGAAAGTAAACATTTACCTTTCAACTTCGATGTTGAGTGGAGAAAAAAGCTAAAAAAAAAGCAAGGAACTAGAAGAGAGAAAAAAAACAATTTCAATGGAGGGAAAGAATAAAACTGCTTAAAGAAGGATAAAAAAAGTGAATAAAGACATAAACTTTATAAAAAATAGCAAAGAATTAAATGATTACACTTCCAGCAAGAACCCCCAAAATGTTTTCTCCTCTCCATGCAAGAGGGAAATAGGGCGGAAATTTGCAATGTCTTTTGTATTCCTTTCCTTAGTTATCCAAATGTCATCCACTAGGCCCCATTCATGTGCTACAATACTTTGTTTCCCAACCCGCTGGAGGATAATAGACAATTTCTAGAGGACGTTTGGACAATTCTTACATAACTTGTAGGATATTACATTTATTCCAGGTGCACTTCCGGCACGGGATTTGCGGACGAATTCCCGAATTTTCCTAAGCTTTAGTCTGGTGTCATTAAGCATGACATCTTTAACTTGAGGATGAGGAAGGTCATTCATAGCGGGGATTGGAATATCTTTCCAAGCATCAGAATACTTCATGCTCAGATAGTCCTCGAGTTCCTTCTGCAATACATCGAGTTTTCCGCTCTTAGTTTCGGTGAACACGTTTTAAGCAAAAGCGTAAGGCTTATTGTGAAATAATCTTCGAGAACGTCGCTTTTTCTTCCGAAGTTTTCTTTGGTTCTTAGCTCGGGAGATCATTAAGATCTTTTCTTTAATATCATTAACCAGATGCATAAGGCTTTTCCATTCATGAATTGGACCGTCTTTGAGTTGTCGCTTCATAACTCTCTGCTCTGCTCTTAGTTTACGCTTCTGAATCTGTCGCCTCTCTTCTTTTCTATCCCCTCTTGCTGTTGTCACACCAAACCACTCAAGACAAACTTCGTGCAAACTTCTGCAGAAAATCTTATCTGCTGGCTAGTGGTTCCCTTTAAATGTTTGGTAAGTATTAATGAAAGTTCCTTATCGAGATTCGACCAAGTAGCTCGCTGACTAACTTTGGGCCACTGCTTTCTTAGCTTGCTTGGAATTTCTCCAGGGTGCTAAGGCTCAGCAATGGGCTCCAGTTTATTCATATCTATCTATCTATCTATCTATCTATCTATCTATCTATCTATCTATCTATCTGCTGTAACCTAGAAAAGTTTACTAAATGAAGAATAACCAAAATGGACGGAGATTGGAAATGGAATGGTAGTCTTTATAACATCAACAAAATACAATACTCGCCAGCGGCGTGAAGTAGGAAAACCACTGCTAGTGGTGGACTACATATACACCACTTACAATAGTGTCCAATGTATTTATGAGGATTGGGGCATACCCATTACTGTTCATAGGTACCGCATATAAAACTACCAATCTAGTTAGCTTGCTGGCTAGCTAGCTAGCTTTTTTTAAGCAAATCACCCCAAGCATGGCAGGCGTGCCACTAGCACGCAAGTGGATACAGAGAGTGAGAGTAAGAATAAAATGAAGTGCTTGGGAAAAGGATGAAGAGAAGAACAGGGATCAAGTTTAAGGCATCAGAAGATGTCGATTTACATTACATTTGAAGATTTGAAGATTATAACTATCAGGGAATCAAGTGATAGAAAGGGAGTTCTACTGACGGGAGGTGTTAGATAAGGTGGAGTAGAAGAGATGCCTACATTTAGTCATTTCGACTATGAAAGGGTGATACCAATATGCCAACCTAGTAGCATGCTTAAATCTATGCAGTTTGGGAACCAGTGAAACTAGCTCGTCAGAGCAGTTCTCATGAAAATATTTGTAGACAAGGGAGAGGGAAGCCACAATAGATCTTTGAGAAAGTGACTGTAGACGAGATGCCAGATCAGACCCATCACATTGCATATCCTTCTCTGAATTTTTTCGAGGACATCGAGATAAACAGCGGGAGCACCATATATGGCAGCAGAATTCCATGCAAGGACGAATAGTTGATTTGTAGAGTTGAAGGATGCATTCAGGCGAGAAAAAAAACTCCTGCCACGACACAGAGAACCAGATTTCCTTGCGTTAGATGAAGCTATAGATTCAATGTAGTTGTTCCACTTCGGTTTAGTCGACAGCATGCGACCAAGCGATCACAGAGAGGCGCTCGTGTGGAGTTGGGCATCAGCCATCCTGATGGGAGACAGGGAGGGTTCTCTGTGGTGGGTAAATGATAGAAGTTTCGTTTTGGAGGTATTAAAGTTTACAAGCTATTCCTGCCTCAGTCAACCACAGATTGGAGTTCCATTTCGAGACCTAATGGCCAGATTAGTTTTGTCAACGATGTCTGATTTACTATTGAGGCTAGTGTCGTCAGCGTAGTTGCCAAATTAAGAATTGATGACATCAAGAAGATCGTTTTTAGGTAGGCAGGTTAATGCCATGTCATGTATACAGTATTTCTTTTAATGTGCACCAATTACTATAATCCCATCGGAATGTAAGCGAAATGGTTTTATCTAAGCTGTTAGGCATTTTCCTCCTCTTGGCTGCTAACCAACGTTAGAAAGCATCCAGTCTACTCTGCTGTTTATCTTAGAAGAAATAGATCCATGCCTTTTCCAACAGTATGAGTTAAAATTCAATACGATACACTATGACTGGATTTGAAATTTCCATATTATATATATATATATTTTTTTTTTATTAATTTTTTTTATTTAGACAAGTCTGTAAAGTTTTGATTCCTGAGCATTTCTTAGTAGGATTTCTATGATTTTTCAATGCTTGCAATAAAGACTGCGACAAAACACAAATCCATTTGCTTAAAGATTATAACTTCTCACTTTTAATCCCCAATACTGTCTTTATCAACGTTAATATTTTGATTTTGTGGGTGTATAAAATGGATAAGACTAAGCTAGAATGTCGTGGGGTAATGTAAAGTCAGTGGGTAAAAATATTAAGAAAAGAAAATATAATATATTGCTATAAATTTGTTACGCTGAGTAATTTCCATTTTCGCACACTAATTGTAATAACGAATATATCATCCTAACTACTAAAGTGACAGTTAAGAATACATCTGGATTAGCCTAACATATCTTAGATTTTGCACTGGCAATGTACACAGTGCATTAAAAAAATAAATTTCTTAACTCCACTAGCGGATAACGTTATGGGTGTTCAACAAAGGGACTAATAGTATGGAGATATCGTGAAAGAATATATAACATTGATGGTCAAGCAGTCATAATTGATCGGAAGGATGTTGAATGGTAAGCATTGTGTAATTTTGCAGAAATGTTGTTGAATAGCTAACGTCATTCGGGCAAGCATTCCACGACATAGCACACGGAAATTACTAAAGAAAATAATGAACATATGAAAATCTACCATATTCTGACATTTAGAACAGATTCATGAGCTTGATGTTTGGATTTCACACACTCATATCGAAAAGAACAAAGTGAATCCCTTATCCATTGCAACGATTTAGTTTTCACATCATTGAAAAAAAAATCTTTGAAGATATCAGAGAAGGTGGTAAAACGCGTGTTGCATAAAAGTATATTCGACATAAAATGCATATAACGAGGAAAAATTCCACAAGCGATGACAAAGGATAGGCTCTATGGATGGTGGAGAAATATTGATGTTTGTGTGGTGGCATTGACATAATGAGCGTTCTTAAAAGGAAATAATAATAATAAAAAAAACTAAATGCACACTTATACGTACAGCAGTTGCAACGTTGCCACAAGGTTTCGGTCGAAATCCGTTTCGTGCACTTCATTAGCCAAAATTTTGTTCTCCTACATGAAAACTCAAAGCCGCAAGGATAATAGGGAAAACAAAAATTGGGAACATCGAGTTCTACCCAACCCGATTGTTTCCATTAAAGTTTTTGGGGGAATCGTTTTTCTAGGGAAAAACGGGATCCAAGAGTTTGTAGAAACCCTTTTTACTTTAAAACCTGGGGAAACGAAAAGCTGACAGATTGTTGCCAACAAGTCATTGCGAAAATGCTGAATGTCTAACAAAATGAAATGAAATTGTACTTTATTTTTTGAAGATTGAAATTAATAAGTAAAAGCAGAAATTATAACTCAACATAATATACATTTGCTTTCGACCGACTATGTTAATGTATTTCAGAAAAAAAAATTATATATATGTACAAGGCCGTCGTAATTCTTTGTCTTCGAATAAAGAATCAATAATAGCTTGAAGCCATATTACCACGACATTCAAACGAATCGCTTTCATGCAAATGATTTAAATATGCAAGAAAGAAGCCTTTATATCCACTTTATTCTCTTCGAATCAAATCCTACGCTTCTATGTTATGCATATTTTTCGCTATTAATTTCATGACTAAATTCTTACTTATGTATTTTTCTAGATGTTTATCCATATAGTTTATATGCAAACCGAAATAAAATTTTGAAATTCCAACTGAAAACTTTCAAAATGAATGTATTGAATTAGAAATTCTAACACACACACACACACACGTATATATATATATATATATATATATATATATATATATATATATATATATATATATATATATATATATATACAGTCATATGTATCCATATATATTGCATTTATTATTTTTATTTCCTCCGATATTACACCAATTTTGTTGGCATGCAATTTCGGATTAATAACTAAAACATATGATCATTCTTTTCTTCCGTAAAAAAGAATAGAACATTTTGAAATATATGAATGATTATAAATCATACTCATATTTGAGGAATCGATTTATTTTTATTTTTTTAATAGAATAACACCATTTAATTTGATCTCTTCTTTGGGTAATGTATTTTTCTGGGATTGAAATATAACTTCTCCTAGAATTTGTTTATTTTAAAAGTTAAACAAACAATATAGAAAGCTAAGTAAATCATTTCAAATTGTCCTTATCTTTTATTTTTTAAAAAATTAATTTATTCTGCAAACAAATTTAAATAGCGGAGTTGATACTTGAATAGAAAACGTATTGCCTGAGGCGACATGTTCTTGGTATTCATTAAAGTAAAATAAAACAAAAATGCTTTCAACTCTGTTTATGATAATAGCTTTCGTAAATAACTGAAAAATTACACTTCATATTCAAAACATGGCAAAGATCAAGAAAGATAAAAGGTGTGTCATATATTACATATCTCCCTGCATATTCCTGTGGGCAGGGTTCAGGCTTAGAGAAAATATCAGAATTTCGAAGCATGTGGGCAATGTCTTCAAATTTCTGCTCCCTATTCATCAGTTAGTGCTAACATATTTAATATTTACAATGAGACAATCCTAAGATATGTAGATCTCCTACCGGAATTTATTAGTACCGAACACCAAAAGTAAAAGGAAAATATATTTTTAATCATTTCACCTCATGTAAGGCGATAATGCGACTAAGACGAAAGTGGAAGAAAATGACGAAATTTTAGTTAGGTGAAAGAACAATAAAATAACAGGGTTCAGGAAGTCCGAAGATTGCGATTGGCGTTGCATTTAAATTTTTGAAGATTTTAGGTGACAGGGAAGTGATAAATCAAAAGAGAATTTCAGGGGTGAGAAGTGCGATATAAGGAACTATTAATATAGATCTTACGGTTACATTTAGCTATTGCAACGCTAAAATGAACATACCTATTTTCAATATAGAGACGCTTAACATGGTCGAGCTACCAAGGAGGAGAGCGATATTTATTTTTAATTTATTTACATAATGTTGCACAAGACCAAAATTAGAGAATAGGGGGGAAAAGACGGTCTTCTTCAGTCATAACTTTAAACTTAGCTAGCTGTTACGTGGCATGCGTTGACGATTTTCTCAAGGATAAAGAAGTCACTCAAGGCGACGAAGATGTGGTTCTACAGAAGGATGCTGAGGATTTTGTGGATCGAGCGTGTGAGCAACGATTAAATCTTGGAGAGGATGCAGACAAGGACGGGGATCATGTTTTATATCAGCAAGATGCAGCTGAAGATTCTGGGACACATAATGAGGAAGAAGGTCCTGGAGAATCTGATTGAATAGAGGGAAAGTTAGACAAGAGAAAACAGCACGTGACATTCCCGGCGGGCTTGAGCATGTGGATGACAGAATGTGGTCTGGTGGAGATATCAGAAGGAAGGACAAGGGATAGAGGGAGGTTGAGGGCCATGATCGCCTATGTCCTGAAAGGACATGGCACATATAAAGAATGAAGCCACAAACACTGACCCAAACATATCACAATATACCTAACACCAAAACAACTCATTCTTACTTACCTCTCTTTCTACATCCACCATAATACCTCATTGTCTCTACAGACATCCTAACTAGTCCTCATATATGCAATTCATTGTCTGTGGGCAGATGAGAATAGAACAACAATTTAAAAACTAGCACCGATGTTAGTGATACCAACCTCAATCCTAAAATGTGACAGAAACATCAGTTAACTGGACGAAATCAATGCAGGATTTTGATAATATAAAACATTAAATCATTGCATGCACTCACTCAAACACACATTCATTCAGACACAACAACAAATACTAAAAACACACCCGAAACGAAAGGCGGCCCGCATCCACCAGAGAACTGACATCACTGCCCGCCTAACGATGGACGGGATAGAGAAATAAACTAAAGAAAAATCAGGACAAAAATAAAAGGGGCCAAGAGGAGAACTAATTGGGACAACTGACATGAACATATTTATAGAAAAGACAGAGGGAAGCCACATAACAATGTTGGGAGTTTGACTGAAGTCGAGATACCAGGTCAGAACTGATAACATTGCTGACTTTTTTTTATATTTCGAGAATCTGGAGATATCTAAATAATACTATGTTCACTTGCTGGAATTCCTGTACTAATAGCAAAAAGCGGAAAGAAAGGACAAACCGACTAGTGTAAGAAGACAGTGTATATTGTTCTCAGCAAGCGAAACATCCCAAGTTGCGAGCTACGAATTGGAGATGCCAAACTCAACCAAATACAGTTTAAATATCTTGGCAGTGTTTTAATAGATGACAGAAAATGTGGCACTTAAAAAAAACAAGGTGCCTTGGAATAGCAGAAAATGCTGTACAAAAGGTAAATAAATAATTAAGAACCAGAAAAATAATGTTAGAAACAAAGAAAAAAGTAAAAAATGCTACGTTTTTATCAACCCTCCGATATAACAGGGAATGCCGGATAGTCTCGTTACACATGAGGAAGCGATTTGAGGCAACAGGGATTCAGAATAAAATGCTAAGAACATTTTTACAGAGCAAGTGTACAACTACCAAGTTTAAAATGAATGGAAATTAAAAAAACAAAAACAACAACAAAGAAAACAACAAAAAAACACTTATAATTAGAATCACAAAAAATGACATTTCTTGAATATATAATACATCAATTGGATGATTTTGTTTAGAGATATATGAACTTCTGGGGTTTATTAAATGCCGAAATCTACATATTTTGAAAAGAATTTTATAGCTTCAACTGAATATATTGTATACTTCTGAGGGGCGTGAACTGCCCTCCCCACTTCTTCGTAGCAGCTTCTCATACTTATAGTCTGGATGGGGGCGTCGACAGCCTTCTTCGTGCGTCACGTGATCACTCTCGGCCAATGAGGTCTTGGTCGGGTATCTTTCCTCCTCCTTCGTGCGTCACGTGATCACCACTTGACCAATGACGTCTTAGTCGGGCGTGAACAATCCGCGGCTTTGTTTCGGAAAAAAAATACCTTGCTTAACTAAAAAAAAAATTAATTATCTCTTCTCTTTCCTTTTTCTTCCTTTCAAATCGCCGTTATCATGAACGGATAATATGACAATTCTTTGTTCAACACGTGGCGTTTGTCAAGTAGTTTATCGCTAATTCATCAGATGGTTGGTTTTCCCGACATGGTCTCAGAAAAGAATTATCCCCAAGTTTTCAGTCAGTCTGACGTCTCCAAGGAAGAAAGAAAAACACCCCTGGGTCCCCACCCATTTCCTTCGGCACATATTCTGATAACATAAATTTTATTATCGCAGGGAAAAAAAAATTCCGTCGAAAAGAGTTTAGTTAGCGAGACTGCTTGTGGGGATTTTAATTTTCCATATCTAACTAAGGCTCTGTAGCTACACCTGTGTTTTGTCAATTATTAAAATTAACGTTTTCAAGTGGACTTTCTTTGGCGAACATTTCTTGATAACACAATTCCATTCTAACGCAAACCAAGTAGGAAAATCGGTCAACGATTACTCGTAGGTGGCCTTTAATTTTCATATCTGTCCAAAGTCTTTTTTAGTCGCCTGTTTCTTTTCGTCCCTTATCGAAATAACATTTTCACTTGAATTTTTCCCTTGGCCGGTGGTCTGTGTTGATAATAAGATGCCTTCCCGTACCAATAGTTTGTTTTCATATCCTTAGATAACACTTCCCTACCCACTCAAATCTCATTGTCATTGTAATGATACTCTTTCGCCATTTGCCACTTATCAAAATAACCCTTTCTTTTTTTTATTGCCTCCTAGCCGTGTGTGTGTCCGCCTATCACCCACGATTCGGATCTCGCCTCACTTTTTCCCTTCTTTTCTTCTTTTCTTTCCTTTCCCTTTCTGCCTTTCTTTCTTTGCCTGGATGCATGGTGCCACAATATGACTTCAGCTACAGATAAAATTTATTGGTTATTTTGCTATAAAATTATATTGCTGGTCATTTAACTATAAATAGATACACCGTTGTGCAAATTAATTGAAACAATCGATCTAGTTTCCTTTCTTTCACCATACAGTCAGTTTAAGACTCACTAGTGTGACAGGGTGTAATCAATTTCTATTTTTCCCCAGATCATTTGTAATATGAATCTATTTTGGCGATGAATGATGAAATTTGTTTGGCCTTGAAAAATATTGCGTCATCCGTGATTGCATCAAATTTTTATCACGCTCAAACAATATTATCTCGACTGTCGATTAGTTAGTCTGCGATGGACATTACTCCAAGGAAGCGTACGAAAATTGTAACGCTTCACGAACAAATTGGCACGCCTTACTAATGAGCAAATCAAAGTACTAGAGGTTGGACGGGAAACTCACCTGATTTAAATCCGATCGAGAATCTGTGGTCAATCTGCAAGAAAAGACTTCGTGGAATGGATATATGAAGTACTGGGTCATTTTTCATTGGAAAAATACGAAACAAATTAAATAATAACGGAATTATACGTTTTGTTTCAATTTAACAAGGAAATATGTTGGTAATTTTAATATAAACATGTATTTTTATATTTAAATAGTGTTTTGTTTTTGTTTTCGGATTTCACTATTGACCAAAAGCTTGGTCCCTAACAGGTGCTACCACTCTCAGTCAGGGTGGATATGGAAATACAACAGTTAAGTGGTGGTTCTATCGTCGTTGAAATCTGCAATCTCCCAATCAACGACCTTGCTTCCGGATACAGTTTATCGTCATTCGACATATAATGAGGAAAAGGAAGTTTATATAAATTAACACTCATATGACATATCAAATGCAAGAAAGGCAAAGAGAAACATGAATTAACATACTGTTATAGTGAAACACACCTATTCTATAGTTAATAGACTCACCCACCTATAATAAGTAGGAATAGTAAGTGTCGCTCAGGGGGTCGCTCAGTCATTCGATGCCGGACGTCCGTTAGTCGGATATTAAAGTATCAGCCACCACAACTAGATTTCTCTGCGTTATACCTATTATATCAAGTTCATAACGTTTTGTACGTCGAACCTATTTTAGGACCGACTTAGTACAAATACAAGCCTCCACTGTGAAAAACACTCCACAACAATTATTTGGCGACGAGGATGAGATTGTTGTATTTATTGACAGCAGGAGTGTGCATGCTGCCTAATACTGTCATGCTGAGTGCAAACAAGGAAAAGTGTTAGTTTAGCCACAGTACACACCCAAGCATATTTGCATAAATACAGACATTTGTCTCGCTAATGTTAAGCATATATTTAGTCGGGATGCAATATTTGGTCACATTGTTCACAATCCGCTCTTCGACAAAATAATCTGGCATATACCCGTCTATGCAGGATATGCATTTGTATAGCTCATACCTAATGACCTTGGCGTAAATGAATGAGAGAACACAGAGTCGGAGTATAGTGGAAATCAAACATTGCTAAACTTTATGAGGTTAGAAATTTGTGAAGGAACTTGTGACAGAGACCATAGAAGTAAAAGTTCCTAATAATGTGAATAGCTATTAAGATCGGGAAATAGAACCAAGTAAATATTCTTTTATTAAAGTAGATACTCAAGTTACGTATCTCAGTTCAATAGCATACATTTTCCAGAAGCAAAAGTAATTATTAGGGAATAAATATTTGGGTAGTTTCTGACATACAAGTCCTTTCTTAAACTAGACAAGAAAAAAAGAAGTTGAGATTAGGTTCGCTGATTTAGATGTCAATTCTTGTCGGGTTATTTAATGCCGAAAAAGACTCCATTAAGGTTTGCACCCTGCAGAGAGTGCTTACAGATTCTAACTGAAAATGTAAATAATAAGCTCTTAAGTCGTCACTGGAGATTGCCTCGATAAACATCCGACATAGTAATAGAAAATCAAGAGTAATTCCAATTAATATCTATCTATCTATCTATCTATCTATCTATCTATCTATCTCAGTCAGCTCCTATCTATCTATCTATCTATCTATCTATCTATCTATCTATCTCTACGTCAAAGGAAAAAAAAAACTTAACACACCATCGAAAATCCGATAATAAATTTATTTCTGGAGGTAAGTTTTTAATACCTACCTCATCAGACTGAAATTACAAAATGTTTTAAATTTATCCAGACAATATGTTGAAAATTATTTTAAAAATAAATAGAAAGAGAACAAAAAGCAAATCTATGTTACTTGATCGAGAATTTTTTTTTGAGATTCATATATTATTGAAAAGAGGAGAGGTAGAAAGAAAAAAGTGTAGTAAAGTGTCAACAGTGAACAGGATCGTGGGGGAGTACAAGTGACATCTAGTGAAATACATTAGAATTAAATCAAAATTTATATCTCCGTCATTTAATTTACGTCTATATAATAATCATCATATATATATAAAAAAGAGTGAAAAATTAATAATATATAAAAAACTTTACTATATCTAATTCATCTTCATAAATATAAAATGCATCATATATATATATATATATATATATATATATATATATATATATATATATATATATGTGTGTGTGTGTGTGTGTGTGTGTGTGTGGCATATAAATATAAAACATGCAAATTTACGCATCCATACAAACACACAAGTAAACACGTATATACAATGCATGCACATGCACACACAAGTAAACACATATATACAATGCATGCACAAAACATGTATACATACATTCACTTATATATACAGGTACACATATATGAACATATTAACACCTATATACACATACATAAACATACGCGCGTATAAACACCCACACAATGTATGTGTGTGTATATGTGTGTATATGTGTTTATGCACATATACACCTCATTATATATGCATACACACGCGTGCATATAGTCACATATACACACACATATATATATATTGTTACGAACCCCAATCTAAATTTATTATAAAAGCTATACCACTGCTTATATTTTACGAACATTCTAAACTAAAGAGCATGTACTTACAGAAACGTAAAGAATAAAGACGTTATAGGTAGACTTAGTGGCGACAAGGATTAACCAGAATGTATGCTTTCCTTCTCTTTTAATCGAAGTGTTGACAGCATGACTTACACGGATAGTTTCTAGATAGAAGATGTTGAAACACTTTAAGCTAAACTTTCTCTGGCCCTGAAGAAGAGAGAGGGGGTCAATGACCTCATTTCACCCATAATGGGAAAAAGGTCGTATTTGAAAAATGACCACGTGACAAGAGAAAAACGGAAACGAATAGTGAAACGGAAAAGATAGCTTCGTCTAGGTTTACGGGCCGAAAAGACGTGCTCGCGAAATTTGTCTCGGTGCAAAACTTGTCTCGGCAAATGGGCCGAAATACGTGTTCGCGAAATTCGTCAAGGTGCGAAAACTTGTCACGGCATATGGGCCGAAAAGACGTGTTCACGAAATTTGTCCAGGTGCGAAAATTGTCTTGGCAAATGGGCCGAAATACGTTTTCGCGAAATTTGTCCAGGTGCGAAACTTGTCACGGAATATGAGCCGAAAAGATGTGTTGGCGAAATTTGTCCAGGTGCGAAACTTGTCTCGGCAAATGTGCCGAAATACGTGTTCGCGAAATTTATCCAGGTGCGAAACTTGTCTCGGCAAATGTGCCGAAATACGTGTTCGCGAAATTTGTCCAGGTGCGAAACTTGTCACGGCAAATGGGCCGAAATACGTGTTCGCGAAATTTGTCCAGGTGCGAAACTTGTCACGGCAAATGGGCCGAAATACGTGTTCGCGAAATTTGTCCAGGTTTTTTTCTTGTTCTTGTCTCGGCAATGTGCCGAAATACGTGTTCGCGAAATTTGTCCAGGTGCGAAACTTGTCTCGGCAAATGTGCCGAAATACGTGTTCGCGAAATTTGTCCAGGTGCGAAACTTGTCACGGAATATGAGCCGAAAAGATGTGTTGGCGAAATTTGTCCAAGTTTTGAAACTTGTCTCGGCAAATGTGCCGAAATACGTGTTCGCGAAATTTGTCCAGGTGCGAAACTTGTCACGGCAAATGGGCCGAAATATTTCAATCTTATTTGTCCAGGTGCGAAACTTGTCTCGGCAAATGTGCCAAAATACGTGTTCGCGAAATTTGTCCAGGTGCGAAACTTTTCTCGGCAAAGGTGCCGAAATACGTGTTCGCGAAATTTGTCCAGGTGCGAAACTTGTCACGGCAAATGGGCCGAAATTACGTGTTCGCGAAATTTGTCCAGGTGCGAAACTTGTCATGGAATATGAGCCGAAAAGATGTGTTGGCGAAATTTGTCCAGGTGCTTAACTTGTCTCGGCAAATGTGCATTCCTTACGTCTTCGCGAATTTGTCCAGGTGCGAAACTTGTCACGGCAATGGGCCGAAATACGTTTCGCGAAATTTGTCCAGGTGCGAAACTTGTCTCGGCAAATGTGCCGAAATACGTGTTCGCGAAATTTGTCCAGGTGTGAAACTTGTCACGGCAAATGTGCCGAAATACGTGTTCGCGAAATTTGTCCAGGTGCGAAACTTGTCACGGCATATGGGCCGAAAAGAGGTGTTAGCGAAATTTGTCCAGGTGCGAAACTTGTCTCGGCATATGGGCCGAAACGAGGTGTTAGCGAAATTTGTCCAGGTGCGAAACTTGTCTCGGCATATGGGCCGAAAAGACGTGGTCGCGAACTTTCAGGTAGAATTCCGTTGCATCGAGGTGAAAGAGAGACAGAAGACAGCTTATAGAAAAAGAAACGAAGAAATCGAGGAGAGATCTCAAAAGGTGATACCTATGGGAAAGGAAAGAGAGGAAGAAAATATCTCGAAGGATCCCAGACCGAGATGAAGGAGAACGAGAACGAAAGCAGTTTTAACTGTCCCCGAGCTCTTAAACAAAGGACGAAAGGAAATAAAAAGAAAGAAAGAAAGAAAGAAAGAAAGAAAGAAAGAAAGAACGAACGAAAGAAAGAAAGAACGAAAGAAAGAAAATGGCCACCTCAATCGTGAATGATGCTACGACGAGACGAAGGAGAGGGGAGTGGCATTTTAAGCTTAATTGCCGGCCAAGCCACTAGACGATGAAAAGAGAAAAAAGAGGAAGTAAAAAAAGACCTCAAAAGGAGACGCTTATAAAAAGAAATAGAAAAGGAAAAGGAAAAAAAAGAAGTAGATATAAAAGACATTAGTGGAAAAGAACTTACGTGGCAAGTTTGTTGTTTTTCTTGTACTTCGTTTCTGTTTAAATGTACTTCTTTTTCATGTTTGTACTTTCATGCAAGTTTAGCATGAGATCTTTTTATTACATATTTCTACTAGTCTTAAAATTTTATGTTTTGTAAATTCGTGCGAGTATGGCACATCTGCTGTAAATTCGTGCGAGTATGACACAAGGCCATACGTTGATTTGTGGTTTACCTTTCTTAGGGGATGTTCTCCTCCCACTATTTTATTCACAATGTTTAAATGTTTATACTTGACATATTGTCATTTTTGTTTTGGCCGTTTTTTTTTATTTTACCTTTCCCACATTTTTACGTTTGTTAATAAATTTCTATTTCCTGTCTCCATTGTTGTTTGTCGCCTATCGTGTTTGTTCCTTAATCGATTCCGCCCGGCCGTGTCTGATCAATCGGAAAGAGACCCCCCCTTGGGAAAGAAATTAATTTTGCGAAAATTGAGTAAAATGTAAAATGTTAAAGGTTAAAAAAAAAACACACACAAAAATAACAATGGTTACGATCCTCCTCTATCTGCGCTATCGATGGTGGTTGAGGTAAGGGGAGGTCGTAAGAATACACACACACACGCACATATATATATATATATATATATATATATATATATATATATATATATATATATATGTTTTGTTAAAAACGACTGACAAGGTACTGCGGCTAAGATTTATTTAATTTTTCTTGCATTCTCATAATTTTTTTCTTTTCTGGATATGAAATATGTAAAAAAAAAGATATCCCGATGTTCTGTATGTCCGAGCGCTTTCGCTATACTTTTAGCTGCTTTCAAGGATGATTTTGTTTTGGGTTTTTGGGTTATTTATGTATCTTTCTAGAGTTATAGGAATGTCTTATTTTCAAAACACAGTCAGCATATTTTGACAGTGTTCATATTTGATGTTATTGAATGTGGGTCTTTCCTTTGTTATTACCAATGCTTCCATTATTTTTAGCTATTTTCATCTTTAAGTTTATCTGACATACATACATACATACATACATATATATATATATATATATATATATATATATATATATATATATATATATATATATATATACATGTAAGTGATTCGCAAAGGACCAATTTCGAATATCTTCCAGAAGAAAGCACATGTGTCGTTCACTGATAAAGCATGTCGAATTTAACATTACTCAAAGTTGCTTGCTTGAATTAACCACCTGAGATGAATAGCAGAAAAAAAAAACGCCATGGGGGTCTTTCACTATCGAGTCAGATCAATCATGAATCAAGAATTGAAGTATTTTTCCCCACCCATATACTTTTTTTTTTTAAATCAATGAAAAAGGAAGACATCTCATGCTATCGTTTTTTTGGTTCATATTTATTGTTTTGTTTATTCATTCAGTTCAATTTCTGACTTGGGTTTACACAAGAATTCGCACAAGCATTAGAGCGAATGTAATACACAAGTAGAGAACATTCACATAACTTTTATTCTATCTCCTGCGTCACTTAATGCGCGTCCCTCTTTGAAAACTCTTGATTCGATTCTTGTTTTGCAACGTTGGCATTTATGGATTCTTATTTACTAATCTAATTATTCTGTCAGTGTAGTCGCAAGTATGGCTCCGTGATAATGCAGGGATGTGCGATATCATAAGGCTCGCTATAAATAGTATTTATATTCTAATAGCAGGCTCTGTTAAAGCCTAGATTAACTACAAACCACAACGTTTGATCAAATATCTTGAATCACGTCAACCAATATTAGGATAGAGATGTGTAGTATCTGATGAATATCAGATAGTGTAAACTCCCAATTGCCTAGTGCTAGACTAAGTAAGAAAAAAAAATTATTAAATAAGCAAAACAAACAAAAAAAAAATGGAATTATCACACCAAAAATCTGAATATAAGTATTTGATGATTTTTCATCAAGAAAAACATTCATTTTCGACATATGAGTTTCAAATAGACGGGCAAGAAAGATTATTATTTTTTTTAAGAAAAATCTACCCAGGACATCCTTATTGTAACAACAAACTCAATAACCATTTGAGCCTTGCGTTCCTGAACAATTTTAATCCTTCTGCCTGAGCCCCTGAGTCAAAATTCTCAAATAATTGGTATGTAATGTTTCTTGGTAGATATGACAATAATTACAGGTGTTTACTCATCGTTCAACCGGTAGCTGAGCATTAAGTCATTTATCTACCGCTGTTCAACCAGTGGCTGGCCATTAAGTCCTTTTTCTCTACCACCGGTTAAGCGATGGTCAAGGCTCAAAGGGTTAAGAACATATTCAAATAAAACATTTTATTTTTGTATACTCGCAGCTTAAAATAAAGAAGAGGGATTGGGGGAGAGATTTTCGGAATATTTAATAAAAGAGGTCATTTGAATAAGGATGTCATAGGCGGATTGTTCTCTAATTAGGAATAATCGTCTCATCCCGTCTATTTGAAATTCAAAAGTAGAGGTTCTCGTAATCAAGCGAATCAGGGTTCTGTTCCTTTTTAGTTTGTTTCTGAATGGTATAATAAAGTTTATAATGGGAGGCCTACAGCAAATCTAGGTGTGATGGCTTTCTTTAACCAGTGACCTCTTATAAATTGGTTTATACCATAGTTGAACTTATCGAAAAAGAAGGATATATATATATAATCAACCTATTAATTCATTATTTATTTCTTGGCCTCCCCAAAATTCAAATTATTTTTACTGTTGAAGTTAGCGGTTTAATGCATTTAAATTAAACACAGGGCCTTAATATTTTCATTACAAAAATCAAGCGTTTGACTCGCAAATTTACATGACCGCTATATATATATATATATATATATATATATATATATAAATATTGTTGTGTAGTGGGGGGGTGAATGTTACACCGAGAAGAATAAGTGCATATTTATTCAGCACCAGAAGAATAAGTTACAAAACAATTAACAAGACAACTTACAAGATATAGAGGAGGGTCAAATGCTGTAAAACCAAAACGAAAAATATTAATCAACTTAGTATCAACATATTAATCAACTCTTGAAGTCTTTAATTGTAGACTATTTAAGGCTATGAGCCAGGCCATATTGTAGAGTGCTGAAGGGTTGTTGTTACTCTGCAACATATATATATATGTGTGTGTGTGTGCACAGCTAATTTGAAGCAGTATCTCAAGTTCAAGGCAAGACAAAATATTTGATAGTCCACGCACTCTAAATCCAGTGGGGTAGAAGAAATATCGCAATCAAGAATTGTACGTACAATATCCCAGCTCACATCGAAACACACTGTTCAACTGTCAGATTCAAACTGCCTCCTGAAATCCGTGCATTTCGTTTATATCCGTTACATGCTTGCGCATGCAAATCACCTACAGTTTTAAAAGTCTGTGTCGTGCGCATGCGCTATGACGGAATTACAAATGGTGACAGTGACCGAACAGATCAAACATCGGAGGCGCTTACCATTGGGTAAGTTTAGGCCACTTGGTTCCAATTCACTATAGTATAGAGTTAGAATTCCAGCTTTGTCAATTTTTATCAGAACGGATAAATAGTTGGATAAATATCCTCATCTTTGAGCAGTATCGTTCGACCCCCATTTAGGCCGTTCTGCCCTCAGACCTTTTGCAAGTGTCGGCGAACCTTTAGAATATTTCGAAATGAGACCATTATTTTATCTCCTGGAATGTATTGTTCTCATTCCACTATCACTATTGAAGAATGTTTCATCTTCATTTATCTTTTTTAGGTCTACAGTTCTAGAAAGTATCTGACACCTCCTGCCAAAGTTATTTTTTAGAGGAGTAGGATTAGGTGAAAAATTGATTATTATTGCCGCATCTGGTCTGATGCTGGCCAATCCTCAGTTTCCAGTCTTGATAGAGGTCCAAAGCGTTTAACCGGCCTTGTGGGCATTGGAGATTTTTCTACAGCTCAGGCATTGACAGAAGGATCTTACACTCATCTTCTTTCACTCCATGAAACAGACTCATGAAATGAAAATTTCCTGGTCACTACAACGTAACCTCTTCAAGTCTAGAGTAAGCTCTTATCTATCCGACATGTCTCTATAACGTTCACTCCTGTTACGTGCATACAGCAAATTAATTCAGTAACAATCTACACTGGGTGGTCTTGTATTGGTTGAAGATTTAGTAAAAAGTTATTCTCTGTCCGGTTTCCGCTAAGTAAATCTGTACTTTCCGGTTTGAAATCACAATTATTACGCTAACGAATTAACACTTAAATCGTTTACGCTATTTCCCCGTGTAATGATAGGGAATTTAAGCGAGGTGAAATGAACGATGAAGTGGATTAATTAATGGGAAACCTTAGGAACTGGATTCTACACAGTGTGCACCCGACTCTATACTTGATTTGATTATATTGTTGATGATCCTGTAAGTAATTGTTTCATGCTAAGTAGATTGATTAGGTTTTAAGCATCATACATCGAAAAGGCATTCAACTGGCGAATTCTAAGACTGAGCGCTTATACTCACCATTTCGCTACTCTACGTAGCAAAATGGTGAGTATATCTCTATCTATAAAAGGCAGAATGTGTGTGTGTGTGTGTGTATGTGTAACTAATGCACGGCCGCAATTTTCGACGGATTTGCACCAAAATTTACATGCACA